GGGATTTGTGTCAGTATCATATGTGTTGAACTAGTAATGAATATAGAGAGAATGGGATTTGTCATTAAAACGTGTATTAAAGTAGTAATGAACAGAAAAAAAGAGATTTGTGTCAGTATCATATGTGTTGAACTGGTAATGAATATGGAGAGAATGGGATTCATGTCTCTAACACGTGTATTAAAGTAATAATAGTTAAGAATGTGGTAGAATATGTCAGTATTATGTTCACTAGAATTATAACATCTGGAGAATGCATTTTTTGGCAGTATCATAAACTGTAAAGTATCAATCCTAGACACCACAGGTGTCTGTCAGGAAAGCAATATTGACTGGAAAAAATATTTTTGTGTACGTTGTAAATATAAGTGATTAGGGCCAATAAAAGTTTCCTCTAAGGACGTTATGCTTTCTGTACAATTGCATTTATTGCTTTCAGTACCCAAAGAAACAATTTCTATTCATTTGCCTTTATCACTAATACCAAAAGAAAATAATATGTTCACTTGACTGTATACATGTAGTACCAAAATAAACATTTCTGTTTACTTGCTTGTACACTTGTAATGCAAAATAACCTGTTGACTTGCCTGTACCATCTGTAATACCAAAAGAAAAGATTCTGTTCACTTGTCTATATCACGTGTAGTAACAAGAAAAAACTCTTGACTCATAATAAATTCTATCTGTCAGTAATCGATATAATACTGTAAACACTCCTAATAATAAATGGTAGATTTTGGTATTATACTTAATGCTTTTGTAATAACTAAATTAAAACATTTTCAGTAATTCTTGTAAAATTGTCAAATGTAGTATGATGGCTCTTATTATTCCTGAAATTTGACGCATACGATCTTAAGATGGTAATATTTCTAATTTCTACGAAAATGTTCCACTCCTTCATGATTAACATTACGGTTAAGAATAAGTTAACCTTGAATATATTGGGACTTTTTTATTTATAATCAAAAATTTGCTCGATAAACGGACTACTAAAATTATTCATCACTCATAAATTGAAATCAATACTTATTACATATCTATTGGGTATTTATCATAGTCGAGTGAGGCACCGAGGCTTGAGATTACTTCCAGCGATGTTGAGAAGCTCCGCCAGGGAGATACGCTGTGCACGTGCACATCCTTGTATAAAATCTGCTGAGGATCGTGGGAGCCAGGTAAGTCTGCGCTTCAGTACCTTACTCTTCCATCTTCGGTTCTTCGGAAGACAAGATTTGAAGACGATAACAGTGGCCAGGCGGACAACTTACAGCAACAGACGTCGTACGAACGAAAAAGCAGCATCATGGTTTTCAATTCGAGCCGTATTTTCAAGAAAAGCGCATTGGACGGAAGTGTAAGTCCTCAAAGTTTAATAATACAACTATTTTTTCGAATGCAAATGAACTGAACTTAGAAACAAAAGAAAGATATTTGGTTACTATGTTTTTTATAGCTGGTTGAAGATAAAACTAGTGTCGCTGTATTCCTCCTATACAAAGCAGTTTAAACTATTTAACTGAATAACTTTCAATTATATTACCACTTACTTACATCGCTGATGTATTTGTAGTTTGAATGTACTCGTACTTTACATTTTGTTCATGATCTTATCTCACTTTTAGAAACTAAACGTTATACAGAAATAAATATATTATCCCATAAGTAGCTTTGTAGAAACTTCGTATTCTTTATTAATTAAGCGGGTACTTCTAGAAAACAAGAATGTCAGTATGAACACTGCAGTTACAAGCTATGTCAACTTTAACACTATAGTTATAAGCTATGTCAAATTGAACACTTAGTTATAAGTTATGTCAAGTTGAAATGTAACTACAAGCTATGTCAACTTTAACACTGTAGCTACAAGCTATGTCAGCTTGAACACTGTAGTTACAACTTATGACAGCTTGAGCACTATAACTATAAGCTATGTCAGCTTAAACACTGTAGTTACAACTTATGACAGCTTAAACACTGTAGTTACAACTTATGACAGCTTGAGCACTATAACTATAAGCTATGTCAGCTTAAACACTGTAGTTACAACTTATGAGAGCTTGAACACTGTAGTTACAACTTATGACAGCTTGAACACTGGAGCTACAACGTATGTCAGATTGAACACTGTAGCTACAAGCTATCAGCTTGAATATTGCAGCTGTAAGTTATATCAGCTTGAACACTGCAACTATAAACTATGTCAGCTTGAATACTGTAGCTACAAGCTATGTCAGCTTGAATACGTAACTTACAAGTTATTTCAACTTTCATCAGTAATGGAATATATCATCTAAATGTTTGGGTAATAGTCGATGTGGACTTTGTTTATCAACCCACAACTGTACTTTTTTAAAACGTAAAATGCGATTGGAGATTTCGAGCTATCTAACTAGTATTACTACTCAGGTTTTACTTATTGTAAATTAATCCAACCACTTTTGTTGAACGAAACTAGATTTCATTTACTACCAACTAAGTGATAAAATGATTTACTTTCTAATAAAAAATAAATTAGTATTTTCAACGCAGGTTCGAAATTGATGTTCATTACCAAGGTCCTTCTTCTAAAATGGAAAATTATATTAAATGTATTTTATTTATAATGTCATTTTATAAGATAGTTTATTGCTATTCGATAAAAATACTCGATGTTATGACACTCGTAAGAAGTCATGCCAGAATAATTGTATTTGTAATAAACTTATATTATACACATATATTAAATGACAATGGAGTTTTGAGAAGCTACAATTACATATAGTTTCATTCCTCTATTTAAACCGTAACGATGAATATATATTACATCTCGGCAACATATTAATTCAGTTGTTTTATATAGAATGTATTACTTACTTTAGAATACCAAAAAATCAAAATAAGTATATATTGGGGGAAAACTAATCAGGTCTTTCGTTTTTTAAAGTTCGTTTTACGCTTCAATTTATACACCATGAGATATATAGAACCTATTGTAAAAAAAATATATAACACAATGCAATGTATTCTTAAATATCAAACTATAAATTAGTTAATCAAAATTACAATGTAAATTTTTATATTTGAAATATTTTAGTATTTATTATAATGTTTCAACGATGTTATAAATGATAAAGTCTGTTTCATTGTTTACCTGACGGAGTACAAGATCTTAGAATATTATCTTGTATTTCATTGTTTTGTTTTACAGAGACACTACACAAGATCTTAAAGTACTACGACTCTTTCACTGTTCTTCTGTTACAGTCACAACCAGTGAAAGAGTCGTAGTACTTTAAGATCTTGTTGTGCTGTAACAGAAGAATGAAAGAGTCGTAGTACTTTAAGATCTTGTGTCCTGTCTGTAACAGAAGAACAGTGAAAGAGTCGTAGTACTTTAAGATCTTGTGTTGTGACTGTAACAGAAGAACAGTGAAAGAGTCGTAGTACTTTAAGATCTTGTGTTGTGACTGTAACAGAAGAACAGCGAAAGAGTCGTAGTACATTA